AGCAGACTGGCTTTCTCCACATACCCCTCCTCCGAAATTCTGGCTCTTGTATTGTGCAAGACTGGGGGAGATTGTAGAGCTTTTCTTTCTGAGAGTCCCTCAGAATACCCAGGCAGGTTTATTTTTTCCCTGGAAGTCTATTTCTGGTTTACTCAGGAGGGAGCCTTGCCCCTTCTAATTAAACAAGTGGCATGGCACTTCCTGGGAGATGCAGAAAGTGCTATTTTTTTGCATTTTATCAACATCTCTCTGCTGCAGAGATGAGCAAAGCCCTTCTTGGTGACCCAATAGACAAAGCAGTTATCTCCTCTGCCCAGCCAACCTGGTATTCTCCGATACAATGACAAAGGTAAATGGAAAGCAAGTTTGGAAAAAAAACCTGGAGCTCAGTGTGAGTTGTGGTGTTTGAAGGAAAGTGGACATGATAGGAATCAACCTTTCTGGGGAGACTGAACCTCCAAACCTTCCTTCCTGAGATGCCATAAGAGCAGAGCTGTTGTGCCTTGGGAACTTTGCCTGCAGGTGGACATGCTCCCTGGTTGTGTTTACCTGGAGCCAGAGCTAAAGGACTGGAATGGTCATTTGGAGGCAAGTTCTCACTGGGGTTATCTCTTCCTAACCCAAGGTACCAGCATGCTGTGGAAGGAGTTGGGTGTTCTCATGGTGGTGGTCCTGGACATGTGAGCTACTGGATGAGCTGAGGACACAATGGTGGCAATGGAAGCAAGTTTGCCCATGACTTGGAGAAGCTGTAGAGTTGCCTCAAAGACAAGAGAAGCCTCTTGTCTTTGAGAAGTTCTATCCGTATTTGCTGCTGTGTCAGGAGCAAAGGCTGCACCTTCTGGCAGTGGGAGAAGCCCAAAACACCAAATCATTTCTGCATCGGCCAAACCTGCCAAAACCTCCTTTGCCAGGTACCAATACCTTCCATAAAACCCTGCCAAAGTACCTTTGCCAGGTATTTTGCCACCAGCTGGGAAGAGCCGCTTGGCTGGTTCCCCAGGTCGAAGGCCCCAGGCGTTTGATGTGCTGCTCCCCCAGCAGCCTGGGAGTGCTTTGAGAGGAGCCAGACCTCCTCTCAGTTCCCATTGCCCTTCCAAAGGGCAGTGGGAGATGAACCTGACAGCCTGTCACTCCGACATGGACACTGCACCTGGCTGGGATGAGCATCCCGGGGTTGCCATGGAGATGCCTGATGGGAATCTCTAACTTTTCAGAGTCCTGACAGGATGCAAACATTATCAGCCTTAAGACCTAAGCAATGTTAACAGCGCTGAAATAAATCCCTTCTGCTCCAGGAGGCCAAAAAGCAGTCAGGGAAGACTCTTCCCCTCAGGAAGGAATGAACTCACCTGTGGAGCTGGGCTGGTTGTCTTGTCCAGTCACTGCTCCCATCTCCACGTGAGCTGTTGGAAATAGGAGAAAACATTGTTAGACTCTTTCCTGCAGCAGCTGACCAAAAATCAACCATTATGCTTTTTGCTCTGTGTGCACAGTCCCAGGAACTGGGACCAAAGGGCCCTGTGGGTCTGTGAGATGCACAGTGCTTTGTTTGGAGAAGGAGATCACTGTTTTGATAGAGAAATGGGAAAAAAAGAGAAGGAAAGCACAGACAGCAGCACAGCACATCGGCCTCACTACCAGAGCCAGGCCCAAAGGGTTAAAACAGCCCAGAAAGCCTTAGGGGATCCCTCAGGATGCTCCCGAGCAGACTCCAGTAATGAATTTTCACTCCTGTATTTTCATTATCATTGTCCCATTGTCCCCCTTAGCTCTGCAGCACATTATTCCTGTCATTGAGGCAGCTGCAAGGACAGTGCTGCTCCCTCAGCTTTCCTCTTGGAAATGTGATGGGCTGAGCCTCAGGGCAGGAGTGTGCATGGGCTGTTACCCCAGGAATGATGCTCTGCTTTGCCTCTCTCTCCTGCCAGCTCCTTCAGATTGCCCAGAGAGTCCCAGGTTTGCCACAGTGCTCAGCAGAGCTTGGCATTTTGTTCTTTGGGAGATGAGCTGGAGGTACCATCCACCCCCCTTCCCTGCTCATCCAGCCAAGCTCACATATTGTGATTAAAGACAGGGATAGACCTGCTTGCATTTGGTGCAGCTGAACTGGGCGGGAAGGAGCATCAGCTACCTCACTGCTAATAAGAATAGTCTTTGTTTTTATTTTTTTTCTTTCCAGAAATATTTTATAACTTCATGGCACAGGTTGCCCAGTGAGATCAATGCCCCATCCCTGAAAGTGTTCAAGGCTGAGTGGGATGGGGCTTGGAGCAACCTGGTCTCATGTAAGGTGTCGCTGCTCATGGCAACCCAAACCATTCTGTGATTCTATGGAAATTTATTAGTTCCCTGGAAACTGGGGAACTGGAGTGGTGACAGTGGTAATTTGTGTATTGCACCCAGATACAACACCACTTGGAGTTTATCCCTCTTGTTTGGTAGGATCAGAGGAAGCTCTTTTATTTTTCCCAAGATCCCCCAGAAGTGGAAAAGCAGAAGGGGTAAGACAGAGTCCTCCATGAGCCCCAGCTTGCTGTACTTGAGGTTGCATTTTTAAATACCAGCGTCGCCTACTCTAGTGCTGGTCCCACAACTGACTTACCGAGGTCATCGGCTTTATCATCGTCTTCGCTTCCACAGCCCGGGCAGAGCCTGCAAGGAAAACAGGACTGTCAGTTCCCAGGCCTTGAGCGACCAAGCTGCCCACCTGGAAGGGAGCAGTTCTCCCTCAAATCTATGTTTTGCTTCTTTCACCTGGTTTAGCTCAAGGGTGCTATGGGGACATCCACGGTGGCCCTTTGTCTGCCTCCTCCCTGCCCATGGCTCAGGGCTGTGTTCAGAGCCGATGCCTTTGGGCCAAGGGTGTGTCTTGCCCTCCTGATCTGTGTCCCTTTCTGCTTTAGGATTACTCAAACAAAAAAGACCCAACCCCTGTGACGACTCCTACAGAGCCGAGGAAGTGAGGACTGGTCCCCTTTCAGAGAGGGAAAACACTGAAGAGGCAAAGCATCTTCATCACTCTAAAAGTATTCCTTAAATAATCATCCATAACAAAGGTAAGAGAAGGTCTCCTGGGTGTTAGGTGTGAGAGCTGTGTGTGGTGCACTTGGTGTTTGGAGCTCATCTGCCTGTGATGGGTTTGCACCAGTAAAGTCTGAAGCCGTGTGGGTGCTGGTGCCAGCACAGCTCTGTCACCACGGTCCCACTGCCACAGCCGCTCCCTCCAAACGACCGTCAGCCCTTCCTGCTCTGCGACCAGATGCCAGTGGGTTCACATTGCTGGGGGCAAACACAGGCTCTTTGCTCTTTCCATCAGCACTGGGTCAGATGGCAGGGCTCCCCACCCCGAGTATTATTGTTGTTATTTATTTGTACCGTGGCAGTGCCTGGGAACATCCCCTCGGGGCTGGGAGCCTTTCGTGCTAAGGCAGGGCAGGTTGTGACATGCAGCTCCAGCAGAGTGAATGCTGAGTGTCACTGCAACTGTCACTGCAACTGTCCTCGTCCGTGCCAGTGTGGGCAGGACACCCAGCCATCACCCTAAATGCCTTCCTTCTTTCTGCTTCATTTGGTGGCAAAATCACAGAATCACGGAGTCATTTAGGTTGGAAAAGACCTCTGAGATCATCAAGTCTGACCTTTGACCGAACACCGCCTTGTCAACTAGACCAGATCGCTGAGTGACACATCCAGTCGTTTCTTGAATGCCTCGAGGGATGAGGACTCCACAACCACCCCACCCACAGTGGGAACTGGCCACTCCTCAGGACCGTGTTGCAGAGCAGCCTGGGAGCAACGTGGAGCTTTGGTGGGCAGCCGACCCTGACCAGCAGCTGGAGGGCACCTGAGAAAGCAGGGCTGTGCAAACAGGCTGCTTTGGGTACAGCAACAGGACTCCAATTAAGCAGGAGCTGGTTCCCTGGGTTTTACTCCTTGAGCCCTGCTGTCCCAATTAACTGGCTCCCCTTACAGTGTTTTTCAACTGTACAGAGATGAGCCAAGGACACATGAACGTAACGTGATCCAGGAAGATTCCCCGAGTGCCAGGAAGTTGGAGCGCTGCTGCCTCTGCTCTTTATGGCCGTGCTCGCTGCCTGGGGCTCCTCGGAGCACAGTTTGGAGCAGAGCTGTTGGGCTCTCACGTGCCCACAGCTGTGTTAGCGCTGCAGGAGCTCCTGTTCCGATGCACCACAGAGCCCCCCCACTGTGCCCCTGCCACGGGGGCTCTCCTGTGATTGCCCAGAGAAGCTATTGCTCTTGGCCAGAAAGCCCCCAGTTGGTTGGTGATGGTGCAAAATGCCTAATTTGGGGGGCAGAAAACACCAAGTGATACCCATGGCCAATCCCTGCCCGTGGCCCCTCTCCCTGCAGCCCAGTTGCAAGCCCTGGCTCCCTGCCCGTGCCCCCAGCCCATGGGGTGGTGGCCGGGCACAGGACCTGCTTCCTGCCCCTGCCATTGCCACCCCTCCCCTGCTCCTCCTGCTGCCCTGCTGTGCCCCTTCTGCCCCTTGTGCCCTTGTCCTAGGGGCAAACGGGGCAGTGGATCCTTCCTGGGAGCTCTGGGCAGCCAGAGCTGCATCAACAACGGCCACCAAGGGCAGGTCGTTGCTGAGTGATTGTGGCTTTTGAGGGTTTCCCTGCGGTGCTGTGATCCCTCTGCCAGCCAGCATTGCTCAGGGTGTCTCTACCTGCCAAATTCTGCCTGCAGCTATCCCAGGCTTTTGCTCAGGCAGGAGCAGGACCCTCCGTAGCAGCTGGTGATGCTGGTGTGGGGGCACTGCGATTTTTGGGACCGTTTAGTGTTAACCCCTGCCACGCCAGGAACCGCTCCGGCTCTCCCCCGGTGCCGGTGCCCTGGCCAGCCCGCAGGTGTGCAGGGGGCCCAGGTGGCCTCGGTGAGCACATCCTTTGCGGTGAGGAGCCCGGGGCTGACAGTGGCCCCGTGCCAAGCTGCCCTGACCATCTGCTCCGCTCTGTGCCAGCCCGACGGCTGCTATAACGGGTGTGCGTGCGCTGGGCGCGGGAGCCGCCGGTAACAGGAGCCGCCGGAGCCCGGCGAGGAGCTGACTCTGTCTTTTCGGCTCTGCCCCGTGTATATTTATCTGTACGTACAAACACAGCCGCCGGCAGAGGTGGCTGGGTGTCCCCAGGCTGTGCCGGTCCAGCGTCCCTGTGCCTGCGGCCCCGTCCAGCCTCGGGGCCGTGGGGAGCAGCCGAGGGGCTGGAGGGCACCGAGGGGGGACTTGGGGTTGCTGAATGTGGGCAGCAGGATCTGGGGGGTTTCTGTGCCCGTTTGCTGTCCAGAAAAGGGGATGTCAGGGGTCCCTGCTGGCTTGTGGCAAAGCCAAGGGCCAGAAGCCACGAAGCACATTGGGATGGTGAGAAGGAGGGGGGAGAGCAGGAGCAGGCCCTGTCTTCTTCCTTTTGGGAGCAGCAGTGAGTGCCCTGGTCATAAATGGGACTTTTATCTAAAATATACACCTTGGCAATGCAGAAGAAAAGCAGGAAAGGGCTTTTCTCAGTACTACAGAGCAGCCAACAAACACCTGACTCCACATTTTGATTTGAGCCAACCAAACAAATGCAGCCCAAGGCACGACTTTCTCCGAGCTGGGGTTTGGTTTTTCAGTGGAGTCTGTTATCAAAGGCAGAAATGTGGCAAGAGGATTGAATGAGGACTCCTGGGGTATTGTGTGCCCAAGGACGTGGCACAGTGCGTGAATTGGGGCATTTTCTAATATTCTAATATTCTGTCTTTGAATCTTAGCCCTCGCTCTCCTTGTAGCCTGCAAAATGCACAAGACCACTCCTTATTTGGAAAGAGATTTTCTTTGAGAGCCAACTTAATGCTGGTTCGGATCAGAGTGACCCTCACAGGGAGACTCATTTCCACCAAGCTTAAAAATCTTTCAAGAATTGCCCTAAAAACAAAATGTGCCAACATTGAAAGAACTGCTTGAAAATAAATCAGAACTTATGATACCTGAGTTTAGAGGACCAGAAATGTAAATGCGGGAAGAAAAGGCTGGTGGAAACTCCCTGCAATGTTCCCTAAACCTAACAAGGTCTTTTATTTCCATCCCAAAAGCATAGCGAGAGTCAAAGAAAAAGAAACCTGAATCTAGTTGACTTAAAGGTCATGAGACTTAGCGTCGGGATATTTGAGGTCTCGTGATTTTTTAAATGTTAATACTGCAAGGGCTGCTGTGGGAGATTCACTGCCACAGTTCCCAGCTCTGACCCAGAGACTCGAGCTGTTTCTGCCCTGCTTTAGTGGAAGTTTGATGATGGAGTTACCAAATTATCTGTAGGAAAGGTCTCTTACACAAGGCCCGTGAGAAAGCACCAAACTGGAGATTTTTTTTTTATTAATTCCTATAACATTTCTGATGTTTTCTGATCAGCCCCCAAAGCATTTAGTTTTTTTAGGATTTCAGCAGCTAAAGTCACTGTCATCTCTCATTTTTGTCCTCAGGGGTCTCAGCACACCTTAAAGAGGTCACCTGAGCTCCTGCCTGAGTCTCGAAGAGTGAGGACTGAGATCTGAGGGTGAAGCACCTCATGAACCTGCTGCAGAGCTGAGGTTAGAGGCACATTTCTCTTTAGTACTTGATGTTCTGAGCCTGCCTCTCTTCTCCTTTTCCCAGCCCCGAGTTTTACCCTCACATCACCTGGAAGCTGTTGGTTGAAATATTTCATACTCGGTTTATATGTAACGCTCAACAAGTGCACGGCTCTTAAAAGGTCACGTTTATACAAATCTGTAATGCACGTGTATAAAATAGATCAGTTTAGAGTGAATTCTGAACCCCTGTTAAACATGGGAAAGTTTTCTTAGGGCAACCCACTTTAATGCTTGGTCAGAGGAGGCCTGGACCTCACCACCCTCACAAGGAAGAATTCCTTCCCAATATCCCACCTAACCCTGCCCCCTGGCAGTGGGAAGCCATTCCCCTTTGTCTTATCTCTCCAGGCCCTTGTCCCCAGTCCCTCTCCAGCTCTATGGGAGCCCCTTTAGGCCCTGGAAGGAGCTCTAAGTTCCCCCTGGGGTCTTCCCTTCTCCAGGTGAACAGCCCCAGCTCTCCCAGCCTGGCTCCAGAGCTGAGGGGCTCCAGCCTTTGGAGCATCTCTGCGGCCTCCTCTGGACTTGCTCCAGCAGCTCCATGTCCTTGTTATGTTGGAAGCCCAAGAGCTGGAGGCAGCTCTGCGGGTGGGGTCTCACCAGAGTGGAATAGAGTGGCAGAATCACCCCCCTCGACCTGCTGGCCTTAAGCCCTCTCCCGTCTCTGCCCTTCCCGGGAATGGCTGCAGACACACCAGCCAGCCATGGAGTGGGTGGTGTGGGCTGTGCCTCCATCACCCTGGCTCTGAGCATGGAGGTCACACTTCTCCCCAGCAGCAGATTCTCCCCCCGGCAGCTCTTCTCCGGGGCTCTTTGCCCTGACCAGGGATGGGGATTTTCCCAGGGGTGGGGATTTTCCCAGCCGGAGTTCCTCAGGGTACAAGATAAGGAGGTGAAATGCAATTGCAGTGTCAGCTGAGGGGCTGTGATTCACCTGGCTGATGCCACCCCAGGGCCAGTTACACCCCAGGGCTACATGCTGCCTGATGGACTTCCTTCTGGGAAAAGCTACTCAGTCACTCAGCTGCTGAGAAGCAAATCCTGATGATTCAGTGTTGCTGTATATGACTTCGATGAGGTGAATTCTTGTTCTGCACTTAAATCCAGAGGGGCAGGTGCTCAGCTGCTGAATCACATCTGCCTGTGAGCAGATCAATCCCTGCAGGGCAGGAGAGCTGTGGTATTTACACCGTGGTTTACAAACCCTTAATGCCTCCGTGCAGCCTCTCTGGTGATTGCCCACATTATGCTCAGTGCCTGCCAGTCCCTTCCCAACGCAAACACCTAATTAATTCCCGTGCTTTTAAGGAAATGAAGCCATACAGAAATATGCCACTGATAACAAATTATGTGGTACCAATGCCACCGATTAATGCTGCAGGAAATAATACTCTATTTCAGATGCTGAATGGGGTTTTTTTTTGTTCTAAATTAATTTGCCATCATACAATAAATCACAGAATGAATCATGAAACAGTTTGAGTTGGAAAGGACCTCAAAGATCATCCAGTTCTAACACCCCTGCCATAGGCAGGGACAAAAATACCATCCTGCCTGGAAGCTGCTAAATTAACATGCAGACATTGTCCAAAGGGCTAGAAGGGAATTTTATTTTTTCCCCTCGTTTTCATTATCTGAGAGCAAATAAGTGTGTAAGTCTGCAATACCATGGATGGCTGTCCCAGTGCTCCCAGCCTTCAGCACACCTCCCATCCCAGTGCTCCCATCTTGCCTCTCCAGGAAGCTGATGGATACTGCAGGATTTCTAAAAACGAGCAGCTGCCAAGACACCATCAGTCCCTGCTGGAATTGTGGTTACCTCCTTGCCCAGGTGATGCAGAAGCTTCGGATGTTTCCCATGCAGGTGAGGATGTGAGCAAGACCTTCTGGGGCTCCGGCAGACCAGTCACAGCTTCGCTTTCCGTGGAGTAGATGGGAAAAGTTGTGGGAAAAGGTGGAAGTGAGTGAAATTTATAGTCCCACCAGGGCTGCTTATTGCACCTGCCAGCTCCAGTAACAGCTCCATTTATGGAAGCTCATAAAAGAGATCTCTCTACCTGGCTGGGTGTGGTACTGAGCACTGGCTGAGGGGGTGGTTTTGATGGGATGCCCGTGTGTGAGTGCACCAGGAAATGTCAACACAGGCAGGTGCCATGGAGCACAGAGAGGCAATAAGAAAATGAGCTGGGGTAAGTTCTCTGCTCCTTACTGGCTGCCTGGAAGGGTGCAGGAAGTGAAAGCAAAAGGGAAAGCAGGACTGGAAAGCGGGTGTGGTGGGTGGTGGCACCTGCAGTTGTGCAGGAGGAGGTGTTTACCAACATGGGCTATGACTGCCTGGAAAGGTCTCAGTTTATCACCCAAGTGCTCTGTGCAAACACCCTAGAAAGCACTCCAGGAACAGTGATTAGATTAAACCCCAAATGAATCTCACTGTAATCAGGCCCCAGAGTTGGGAGGTAACATCAGTTTAGCAGGGCTGGTGTGCAGGGTGTAGCCCATCTCTGTTTGCAAGGATTAGCTTAAAAATAGCCAGACTATCATTGTCAATATTTTTATTTATTTACATAGTTTTTAGAAGCTTTCTAAGTGTCTGCTTAAGAAAAAGCAGCATCCTGAGACGTTTCCCACTCACCCTGGGTTGCAGGGCGACTCTGATCGGTGCTGGGAGCTGGGCAGTGTGTGAGGAGCTGAGTAGCTCCTGGCATCCTTCTTGTAGGGCCATCAGAAGGGATCTCAGGACATCAGCCAGGGAAGACCATCAATGCCAGGGGCAAATGAGGCTGAGAACCGAGACTGTTGAGTGTCCAGCTAATCATCAGGAGGGGAGAGCTGGCAGGGTACAACAGCTCTTCAGCAGGGGCTCCTGCTTCCACGGCTCCAGGTGGAGTGGGCAGGGCTGCAGCTGAGGGCAGGTTACATCCCCGGACACTGGGCACATCAGCACGTTCTACTGGTTCAAATGCAGAGGAGCTCAGTTGAGAAAATGTGAAATGAAGCCTGTTACTGGTCTAAACTCAGCTCTGAAAATGAAAGTAACCACTTCTACAAGTTTAAAACCGGTGCCATGTAGCAGCTCGGTAAGTCTGGAAGTAGCACTTCCCCCTCTCCCCAGTCTTAATGCTCTGTCCTGCTAAGACATAGAGTTAGTTAAAAAGAGATTTTCTTTAAATCCCACAGACTCTTACCCAGAAGGACACTGGGTGTATTCCTGGTGGGCTCTCAAAGGCTGGGACATCTGGAAGGAGCAGCGCAGCAACATCGAGATGCTTCTGCTGCCACCCAAACCCCACTGTGGGTAGTGAGAAATGAATTTGATAGTGTGGAAAATCTGGGCATTATTGAGAAGTTAAGTCAGTCTCCAACTGGATTAATTCACTGCTAGTAGTTGGAAAAATTAATAAAGTGCAGATCTGAATCAATCTTGCTGATTTTCCGTAAAGCATGAACATTATCCATGGCAAACTGCTGGAATAGCAGCTCAGGCTCGGGCCAGCAACAGGCTTTGTGTGCTGGGATGCTGCACCCTGGAGCCTGCTGGGGAGGGGCTGGGAGGGGTGTCCTGGCTTCCAGCCCCTCCACCAAGGCTGGTTTGGTGTTCAGCTGGGTCCTCTCATCACCAGCCGTCGTGTCCCTCCCCTCGTGACAGTGTCTTTCTTTTTTAAGTGGAGCAGCACTGTGGGTGTTATGTGTTGTACCTTATAGCCTGGTGGCTTTGCCACACTGTCCTGAGCATGGAGCTGGACATTTGAATGCCCAGCATCCCAAATATCACCTTCAGGATGCAGCTTTCAGAATATAAAGCCGGATGAGTTGAGCTCTGACTCCGTGACTGCAGTGAGCACAGTGAAAATCTATTAAACGCATTTCTAGGGAATAATTTCCTGGCTTGTACTGCGCTGATCACAGATGAGGCTTGAATTTGGGCTAGAGATATAAAAAATGCACCAATTAAGCTGGGGTTTTTTGCACCTGGCAAGAGGTGAGTGTGTGAAAGTTAAAGTGGCCTTGGCTTGTGTGGAGCAGGGTTATCTGTGCCGGCCATAAATCGAACCGGGACGGCTTAATTGCTCCTTCACAGTAAATAAAGCTCTGACTGAGATGTCTGCTCTCTAATATAGGGGGGATCTCCCGGGCTGTGGAGGATGATAGCTAGCCGGAGAAATCCATTCTGGGGCTCTTTGGGATCGATAAGCAGTTAAGGGAGCGGCGGGAAGATGACATTGCCTGTCTTTGTGCGCACACACCGCGGAGGGGCCGGGCTGGTAAAGGGCAGCGCTTGGGCTCCGAGCCATTGGCTTTAGAATGTGGTGGTTCCTGCTGGAATTTTGGACATGTGGTGAGGTAAGAGCAGCCTGTGCACCAGAGTGAATGGCTGGGGACCATCACCCACCCTCGCTGGGCTGGTGCCTGAAGTCAAGGTGATGGGCTGAGCCACCAGGTTCAGTAATGCTGCGAGGGCTCTGTGGCTCAGAGGGCTTCCAGGGCCAGCCCAGCTTGCAGGGCCAGCCCAGCTTGCAGGTGGCCAGCCCAGGGCTGCCTCACTCGGGCTGCAGCAAATCCACTGTCACGGTGGAGGGAGCTCAGGGGCTCAGAGCTGGTTTTAGCTGAAGGCTCCCAAGATGTGCTGTGGGGAGGTAGTGGCTCCATCCAGCTTTCTGCAGAGGGTCCCTTCCACTCATGACCATACTGCTGGTGGGTGCCCTGCGCTCTCAGCATTTTTCTGTGCTGTTTCCCCCAACCCTGGAGAGGATGGAACCTGCCATCGACTATGGGAAACGTAAATGGCAGTGTCTGGCTCATCCCTAATGATTTACCTGGAAATGCTGTTGTGCAGAAGGGAGATGAATTGCCACTTAGCTTCTAGCTCCTGCCCTCCTGCCTTTTAAAAGGGAAATATTGCAGTTGCTTTCTAGCCCCACTACTCCTCACCTGGCTTTTTTTAATTATTAATTCTTCCATGCCAGGGAAGAGCCAGTGGGACTGCAATAGGAGCTGGACCAAGCTGCTGCCCCTCCAGCCCCAAACCCAACTGAGATTCAGAACAGACCAGGAAAAACCAAATTGTGAAGCAAACACTGTTGTGATTCTGCTTAGTGACATGGGGGGTTCCACCTGGCATTGCTCCCCTTAGGCACACACACCTTCCTCACTCCAGTAATGCAGGATGCTGGAGTCTGTGGGTGAGACCAAACCCCCACCAGCCTCAGGAAGAGTTAGAAAACCCTTCTATCCTCTGAACTAAGTCTTTTTGGAAAGAGGAAATTTCTTGCTGATGGTTCTGGAGCAGATGCACCCAGTGGCACGGTTTGCCAGCAAACACTTGGGAAGCTCTAGGGTCAAGTCATGGTGTAAAAGGTGATATATTACATTTCCTTTAGTGAACATGTGAAAAAATGGCCCAGCTCACAATCAGTTTGGCAGGACAGAGGGATGTGAGGCTCACCAGAGCCGTTATTTCCAGTGGCTGATCTGCTCGGCCTTGTTTGATCCATCGTCCTTGAGCCAATCTGCTGAAGTGGCACTGAGTGCACCCCAATGCAAAGCACAGGCTCACAAACCTGGGGCTGGATGAGGCACCTGGTGCACCAAGGCACCACCACCTTCTGCCTCAAGGTTTTCCAGCAGGTAGGTGTGTGACCCAGTCTCAGAAATGCTAACTCTAATGAATTTTTGGGGGGGAAGGTGGGGTAAGCCCTTGCAAAGTACTTGTAGATCTGTGCCGTTCAAGCTGAACAAGCTTAATGGCAGAGTTGGAAATATGAGTCAGGACATGTTTTTTTTTTTGTGTGTGTGTTTTTTTTGTTTTTGTTTTTTTTTGTTTTGTTTTGTTTTTGTTTTTTGTTTGTTGTTTTTGTTTGTTTGTTTGTTTGGGGTTTTTTGTTTTTGTTTTTGCTATTTGTTTGGTTTGGGTTTTTTTCTGAAGTGATATTATATGTGTTTGGGCAAGCAGTGCCACGATTCTCCAAAAAATGTGGAAGTGGGGAGTAACCCACAAAGCGTAGGAGCAGAAATTCCCTCAGACATCCCCCCTACTCTGACCTGGCTAAAATGAAGTGACAGGTTCTAAAATTGTGGGGTAGGAAGCGGGGATGGATGCAAATGTGCTCTGTTTCCTCAAGGAGGTTGACTGCAAAACCTGTCTAGGAAAAAGAAAGTACGTGCTTTGCCCTTTGCCACGGGGAATGTTTTCCCTCTTGTGGTATCCATTAAAATGAAACTTTAACTGTTTAAAATGATCCTGCCCTTACCTCTGTGGCCTTATTTAGATCTAGACATATCCTGTCCTCCCTCCCTGCCCATGCCAGCCCTGTCACAGCATTATGGAGTGTTGGGATGTTGCACATGTACAGGTGGTGCTTCCAAAAGCATCTGTGGATGGACGCTTGGATCCAGGCTGTCAACGAGGACAGCACTGGCCATCCCATGGGAGCATCGAGCTACCTTCCCTGGAATATAACCCCTTCACAGCATCATCCTCCATCACTCTCCTGACAAAATCCCTTCTTTGCCCTCATTCCTCCTCTTCTGTGGCTTCAGGATTACGTTGTTTTTTTTTTTTCCCAGAAAAAACAAATCCCTGAGCTTGGAAGCATTGCATGGACACGTGAGCTGGGGGAGGGATGGCAGCTTTCTCCCTGCCCTTGGCCACACCATCAGAGTGCTGTGGGCACTGAAAAGCCTGGGCAGGGGTCTTGCTGAGCTCTGCAGCTGTGCAGGAATTGCTCTCCAAATTCGAGATGTTCTCTGTATTTATTTTTCCGTCTGGGTCCGTTTGCTGACAGCCAACAACCCGTGGCTTCGGGCAGCCAGTGCCTGCACTACATATTTTTGTTCATCCGTCCCTCCCTGCCAAGAGCTGGAGTCAGACAACTGGCTCCGGCTGGTGCCAGCTCTGGTTGCTCACACAGGGATTAGCACGTAAACTGCTTTGGTCCCCCTGCAGAGGCCGAGCGTGGCCTTCTCTCTTACCCTCCCGCTGCAGTTGCCTCTGTGAAAGATGTCTCTGACTTTGCTCCTGACTTTCTGCAAGAGGTTGTTGTAAGAAAAGGATTTTTCCTGGTTTTTTTTGGGTGTCTCTGCACTGTGGGTGAACGTGGGAGAGCACGAGTGCCTCGTGGTCCGCCGTGTCTCGGGTTGGTCCCGTGCTCGACCCTTGGGCTGGACACCAAGAGGGATTAAGGGGAAGTGTTGGACCTGGGGATCTCCAGGAAACCAAGAAGTAATCTCCTAGTGCTGGGAGACTAAAACAAACCCTCCCTGAGATGGTGAGCACGACTGGATTTCTCACTTACAAGCGAGGCTGTTGAGGTTTCTCTGTGCTCACAGCCTTTGCCCAGGACTCCACAAACAGAAATAAAATCAGCTGAAAAAATACAAGAGGCCCTGAGATGGGAACTGGGCAAATGATGAAGGAAGACAGTAAAACCAATGTAGAGATCCTGGGCCACCTCATCAAATAGCAGGAGCTGGCGTGGGGGTATTGATTTCAGCAGAGCTGTGCCAGTTTATGCAAGTTAGGGCTCTGACCTACGTATTTCACCGTAATAAAGATATCCAGATGCTGGAAAACTTCCAGGGAAACTGTCTCCTTGGATCAGGTTGGTTATTGATGTATATGCATATCGATACACCCACATTAACACCGTGTGGGGCTGTAAAATCCCACATTTAAGGCACCTTACAGCTCGGTTTCAGCTGTGCCAGGTGGTTACCTGTGCAACCTGCCAGAGTGAGGTGTTGTCCTTGGCAGGACCAAACGTTATTCCTGATCTCCGGTGCACAGGGAAACTCGATCCTTGCTCTTCCCGTCACTCCGGAGCGTGACCGGGAGGTGGCAGGGGGGGTGGGACGCTGGGTTTCTGCGAACCCGGCGGGGAGGGAGCGGGGCCGCGGGGCCGGGGAATGTGCAGACTCAGTCCTGTCCTTGGAAAAGCCAGGGGGGAGTGCTGCTGGCGAGGAGGGGGCTCGTTTCGGGGTCCCCGGGCTGTAACCCTGCCCTCCCCGCTGGATCTCATTGCAGGGAGCGGTGCTGGGCAGAGTCTGCCCGCGGCTCGCTGGGGATCCCAGTGCGGAGTTCGGAGAGACTGATTTGTGCTGGTCCTGCCTGGTGGGACAGTGGATGCCGTGCTCTTCATCCGACTGCCACCTCAGGGCACCCCAGGAGGTGCTCTTGGGCGTTCAGGACCTGGGGAGCTGCCTGCAAGTCCCAGGACTATCCTCTGAACCTGAGTTCAGATTTGGCTGGCAACAAAATGAAGCCAGGCTCTAGGTTTCCCATGCTTCCAACAGGTCCTTGTGAGTGCTGAGCAGGATGCCTGGAAGCCACTCAAGTGGGAACGGTTTACTTCCACAGGCTATTACATTTGCTTTGAACCACCTTCTTGCTGCTTTTTACACAAAGCCCACTCTCCTTGGAGCAAAGCTTCTGTTTAGGTCTAATTTCTTTCAATGGGACTTCAGCATGCGCTCAAGTACTTTGCTGATTTGGGGCCCCAGTCATTAACTTCGCAGTTGATTACTCAAGTGGATTTTAGGTGGGGGAATGGGAATGCTAACATCCAGTGGGAAGAGTTGAGCCAGTGCTCAGGTTAAAATTGAAACCAGTCTCAAAGAATGAGCGCAGTGCCATCAGGAGTGTTGGTCAGCGCTGGATCCCGGAGTTGCTCCTCACAGTGTGTTTCCCCACGGTGTCCGGGTGTCCTCCCGGCTCAAGGAAGGACCTGCCACAGTGCCTGGTGTCGGCAGAATCCTTCCCCTGCTCCGTTTAACAGTTTAATGGCGTTTGGCAGCTTTAAAATTACAGTCTGGGCGGCTTCCCCCACACCAGAGCCGAGGAGGTGCAGAGCTGATTGCGTGCTCCGGAGGAGCTGATTAACTCCTCGGCGTCGCAGATCATCAGGAATGCAAACAACCCGCACGGTAAATACACATTTTAGGGCAGATCAGCAGCGCACACACACTCTGAGGCCTTCACCAATTACCCAAATTGGTACGTTCCACTCATCGCGTCGGCATATCGGATATAATGTATCATAGAAAAATCAGCGGCTCACAGCTAAGGTTGTCTGTTGTACTGTGGTTCTCAGCTTGTTGATCGTTTTATTTTAGAAAAGAAATAAATAGATTATTTTGTGAGTACATTTATGGAGTATGTAAAATTGTATGTACAGTTAGGGGTGGAGGGTGTCAACCCCGAGGTGCTGCCTGGCCTTGAGGCAGCAGCATCGGCCCCGTGCTCTGGCCTGGCTCACTGGTGGTGAGGGAAAGCAAAAGGGTTTTCCTTTTTAAATCATGATTGATGGATGATTTACAGCCAACTGTGGGGGCTTGAGTTCTGGTAAAATGATGATGTTTAGTGCAAAGGGGGAAAAAGTGTGTTTTCCTCTCAGTACCCCCTGTTCAGTCTGGCCTGTGTGATGCAGCCTCTGGCCACCAGCCACGTGGGCAAACTGAGGCAAACCCTTTTTTATCCCTTTAACAGGGCTTGGGCACGCTCTGCAAGATTATTCCAAATTATTTTGAGCGAGATGAAGGGAATGAGCTCAGTGTAACACTGAAGAGCCTCAAAAGGGGTCAGTATTCTTCTTCAAACACACAAACCTGCACGGATGCGCTGACCTTTGAAAAAACCCAACGCACACGAAAATCAGCTAATCTAAAATGAAGGGATGATTTTGCTGTTGCCAAAGAGGCTGAAAAGCGTCGCTTTGCTCAAGCTTATCTCTTCTCCCTCCTCCGGGTCTTGCTCTCGTGTTGTACCGTCTCCACACCCCGACGGTGGGAGCATCGCACCTGTAATCTGCAGATAACCTTTGTGCCTCCGGCTGTGTCTGCCCGCATGCCCTGGGGGATCTTCCTCCCCGTTCCTTCCTTTAGCATTCAGGATCACTGCTCTCTGTGCTGGCATGACCTGAGCATGCTTGTGGGTGTGGAGACTCCCACAGAATAAACGCCGTGTTTGGAGCCTGTGCTCAAACACCCTTCCCTGTGTGTCTGCCATGTTCTCCGTACGTGACAGACGCAGACGGGCGCCTCATCCCACGGAGCTCTGTTGGAGCTCTGTTTGTGGGGAGCTCGTGAGGCTCAGGGGGGCTTTGAGCTGCTCCAATGCCGGGGTTTGCTCCCCCTGGGAGGGCTCCACGTTGGTGTGAGCTCCCACCTCCACGCTGGGTGCAGAGCCCTTCCCGGCACAGCAGCTCAGCTCTGTGGGCTGCCAGGAGGTGAACAAAACAGCCCAGAGCAAGGAGGTGGGAGATGAAAAGAAACTTTGATGAAAGAAATGAAAGGGCAGGGAGGGGAAGGGGGTGTTGCTTGATGTCGCCAGGAGATGCTTGAAGCTCCTGGAGGGAAAGTGGGAGCAATAGTGTGGGAGAGGGGAAGTTTCTGGGTATGAAGGAGATGCTGATGGATGGGAGCAGTGAAGGTGCTAGTGGAGCCTGGCCACAGTCAGTGTGGAGCACTTTGGGTTGGGATTGTGTCATGATTGATCAAACCAGCCTAATTAGAGCATCACGAAGTGGTTTGGACTGGGAGAGACCTTAAAGAACATCTCAGACCCTCCTGCCATGGGCAGGGACACCTTTCACTAGACCACGTTGCTCCAAGTCCCGTCCAACCTGGCCTTGAACACTTCCAGGCATGGGGCAGCCACAGTCTCCCTTCCTCCTGCTTTTGAAGGATCTTCCTCAGCTCAGATAGCCCAGGGACGACTCCACAGCTGGCAGCCTGTGGGAGCTGTCACCAGGTGAGGAAGAGCTGGAGGTGGGTCATGCAGAGAAGTGATGCCCACTGCCTCTTGGGGCACCCCAGTGGAGCTCTCCAGCTGCAGAGGAGCTCTGTTAGGAAGAAATGAGTCTCAGCTGAGATGTGGTTGCAGGATAAATAAGGGCTCAGGTGCACTGCAGGAGATTCTGACTAGCTGAGGTGGTGCTTATTGTCCTCTCTGGCAAAGCAGGGTCCATTCTTTCCTTCTACTGGAGTGCTGGCTCAAGCTGAGCATCTGTGCCTTACCTTCCCGAGCCTGAGGGATGTGGCTGAGCTGTTGGAGAGCTCTTGGGGTGCCATGCCCTGCCCCTAATGGGACAGCAGAGAGCAGTTGGCTGTCCTCTGCCACATGTCCTCCATTTCTCCTCTTTGATCGCCACAATTCCAGACTTGTTACCTGTCATCTGCTTCCACCCACTTTTGGGAGTGATCTTGTACCAGTGCACGATGGATCTGTCCTCGTGCTTCTGCTGTGCTTCTGCTGTGAGCCTGGAGCTTTGGGAACACACCTAGAAATGTCAGCTAAAAATAATGAGATTAATGATCCTCACCCAAAAGTTGGGCTTTTGTTTTCCTAGAGAGCTGGGTGGAAACCAGTGATGAGAGCTCTTTGCCAGTGGACAGGAAAGCTTGTCTCCAGCCAGCTGAGAGCGGGCTGTAGCCCAAGCAGAAGATGCCCTGTTACAGCTCCATTTGGAGGGAAACCCCACCTTTTTGGTTAATATTTAACTTCTGGCACACAGCAGTGCTGTGGCTGTGAGAGATGCTGTGAGAGTGGCTTTCCTGCTGATGTATAAGGAAATAAGTCCCTGGGAGGAGATGTCTGCCTTGTCCTGGCACAGCTGCTGTCCTGTGTGGCCGGGGAGAGCAGAAGGATTTCTCCCATGTTTCTCCTTTGGTATTTACCTTTCTGGAGCAGGTGAAGGTAAGGATTCCATTTCCTGCTCTGCACAGGGAGTCTGGATGTGGTCTCTGCCCTGCTTCCCTCCATACCAGGTGACCCTCCAGCTCACTTATCTAAGTTCTTGTCGGCGTCTCTCATTTACTGGAAATCTTTGTTATTTACCAGGAACACGGCGATGTATGCAGGACGATGTCAGATTCTGTGTAATAAAATTACTAAGAGGGTTTTTTTTGCACTACCAGCTACTCCTAACCTCTGTAAAATCAGTAATGATTTAGCTGTAAAGGCTTTGCTGTGCGTCCTTCAGACACGAAATGAGCAAATGACATTGGAGGCTGGCAAAGTGAAAAGTGGATTCGTTCCCGTTCCCAGAACGGGGCTTGCTCATGCACAAATTGGCACGAGACCTGGAGATGTTAAATGGGCAAAGCAGGCTTTGGAAATTAATCATTTCCTATTAATGAGGAAGGTCGTGCCCTCCCGCGTGCCTGCAGGGAAGGAGAGCAGTGCAGGGAGGATGTGCCGGCCCCTGCAAATATTTGGGGTTACCTGTGGTGTGTAGGGAGCACCTCGTGCTCAGGCCGCCTGGTCCTTCCCCGCGTTCCATCGCTTTCCTGGGTCGGGTTTTAGTTCCGCTCTCCGGCGGCAGCTGCCGGTGCAGGGCCCCAGTGCTGCCGGCTGCTGACCTCCAGAGGCTGGTGGGAGAAAACCTCGGCCACCCGCCCGGCCTCAGGGCACTCGGGCTGCGGGTCCCCAGCCCGGACAGCAGCGCAAGGGCGTGTCCGGCCCCAGCCTAACGCTGGTCCTTGCTGATGGGTAACTGGGACAGGAGGCGGCTGGCCTGGGTGAAGCCCTGAGCA